TATATGAATTTTTTTCGATGGGTGGTTTTTTTTATTGATTTTTGAAAATCAAAAAATTCCGATAAATTTTGGTTTTGCAAGTACTTACAAAAATAGCGATATCTCGTAAACTATTAAAAGTAGAAAGGTGAGTGATGGCTTATTTTAAAGGCATATTAGTGACCTTTTTTATGATATATCACATGACCTAAATTTTTTCAAAAAAAAAATCAAATTTCAAAAATTTGATATGGATTGACCCATACTTTACAAATTATCTCTAAAACAAATCATTTTATCAAAATTTTATAAGAGACCAAAAATTTTCAACAATAAATGATTACCTGAAAAAATACCGTTTGGAATTCATTGGCGCACGTACTAAAAAATAGGGGGAGTCAGTGAGTACTGGACCCCCTATTTTAATTATTTGACAATTGTTTTTTGTTTTGTTGGTCTCAAAAAATGTAACTATTTATGTTGAAGTAGTGTACCGAATTTAAACTTAATATCTTATCAATTACTTGAATTATTAAAAAAAATCAGTTTTAAATTTTAAACTTTGTCGCCCTGTATATCGAACATAAAGCTCTAAATTGAAAAATGGTATTATGAAAGTCCTATTATTTTAACTCAAAGAATATATGGTTAACGGATTGACTTCCTTTTCCCGGACACCCTGTATAGTATGCAACTCGTTTATAAACTTTCTAGAAACTCATTTAATTAAGCACTCGCTCACAAGCTCGCTCGTGCCTGAATTAAATTCGTCATAAAAATGGCGTTTATCAAACTTGATACATAATATACCATTATCTACTCCTCCATTGACAGGGTGTGACTTTATGACATTTTAGTCACGGACTGAAGTTAATAACAGTGGCTCTTGTGCATATTCTAAATCATTTTTAAGTTCCTACTATGGTAACGAGTGTTGACAACAAAAACGTTAAAATTATTGACCGATTGAAGAAAAAATGTATTGTAGGGTCGTTCATAAAGTACGTCACGCATAATAACATTATTATAGCACATGATACCACAAAGTCTTGACCCCCTGCTCCCCTAAACTTTATAGTCGACCCCCATAATTTATGTTTAGCCTTTTACAATAGGAGCTTAATACAGTTTTAAATACTCCTACATTGACGAGCTGTAACTTTATAGCGCTTTAGTCACGGGCTAAAGTTACCTTTATTATAAATTTGGAAAAAGTGAGGTTAAATTCGGGGAGCAGTTGACAAATGTTAAATTTTTAAAAAATAAAATTAAAATTCTGTTTTGTGTTCGTTGTAGATAAAGTATAGTATGTTTCTCGTTTATGAACTTCTCTAGACACTCGTTTTTATTAAACACTCGCTCGCAAGCTTCGCTCATGCCTAATTAAACTTATAAGTAAAATGGCGTTTATAAAATTTGATACATAATTTACCATTATCTACCTACCTAAAGGCTTTGTTATCTATGTATCACCTACCCACCTTAAAGTTTTGTAAACTAAATGTATAAAAATGTATTGTATACCTGCATAACTTAAGTAAAAGGACAATAAATAATTTGCTTATGACACTGCACTATTAGTTAAAATTCAGGAAATAAACTTCTTATATAATAATATTAATTTATGTAATATTAGGCACTATTATAAATAAAAAATGTAATAATTAATATTATTATACGTAACTTAAAAATAAAAAATTAAATGTAAAAACAAATATTAAAAACTTACCAATAACAAAAATTAGCAGCAATTTAATTTCGGCGGAAAGCATTGTTGCTAATTTAAATTAAAACACAGTTATTTTCAAAGTTAACACTGCTAATCAAAGGTAATGTGTGTGAAAGATAAAAATATTGAAGAAAGTGACTTTTTACCCTTCGGCTAAACGTAGTTGCATCGCCAACAAAATCAACTAGCCAACTTCAGTACCGGTTACCTACGCTGGCTTTATTTTATCTCATTAATTTATATCTGTCTATGTGTGTAGTGGGAAATGTGACCAATTTTATTACACATTTTAGAATATAATTTTGAAATTTAGTTCTAAAACAAACAGATAATTTATTCTTTTTTGTGTAAATTTTTTAAATCTTTAAAAACATGAATAGTAAATTTAAGAATCTTTTTACTTTTTAAAAATAAAATATTTTTATCGTTTAACAATTTTCAACACTCATGAGCCTACATAGGAAGACTTGTACGCAGTTCATAAGTCATACATCCTCGTACAAAACATTGAATTCCCTCAACTAAAGAAAACTTATGACATTTTAAATCACACATTTCTTGACAAAGCAGCACACATGCCTAGTTTTTTTACACAGATTTTTTTAAAGTTCCTTCATGATCCCTATTAAAAATACAAAGTTATCCCCCGCTCCTCAAAATAGAAAAAGGGAGTGGATGTCAAAAATATTTTTCCCACCTCACTTTTGGTTTACCCAAATTTCCCAAAAAAATTTCAAAACTTTTTTGAAATATCCCCTTGTAACACCCGGTAGATATACTTTAAAATAGTGGGCACACACTTTGAAACATTTTGCATGGCGGCATGCCGCAGAAATTACGTTCCATGGAGTTCTTGGATTCCACACCGAATTCACCCTTTAACCAGTTTTGATATCGTTTTAAGAACTTTGGCTTAATGTTGTCTACATCTTTTTTTTCTTTTATTTGTTCAACTGCATTATATAATTTGTCCTCCTCTACATCTGGATAGCGTTCTCTCACTCCTAAAAAGTATTGCACACAACTTGCCATATGGAATCACTAATTTTGCCATAATAAAATACTAGTAACAAGGTCACTAACATCAGAAATAGCACAAAATGAAACTGAATATATTTTTTCTACTCCTATTATAAAAAGTGATATTAGAACGGTCATATTCCGTAATATTACGGAATATGACCGTTCTAATATCACTTTTTAATGTGGAATGATATATATTCCTTAAAGTATTACAGAATTAATTATTCTATCATAGGATGACGAAATAAATACTGGTAGCGACATCTCTGTGTTTAATATTTAGATCGATCTAACCTCACTTTCTCCCAATTAAATTATTTTTCTATGGTATTTTTTTGAAACGCAGTCTGAAACACGTTTGGAATTGCATATTTCGCTCGAGTGAAAAGTTTGTCACACGAGCCGAAGGCGAGTTTGACGGTTTCACAAACTTGTTACAGAATATACTATTCCAAAATTCAATATTTTATACCATTAAAGGATTAAAAAATCCGATGTTTGTAATAAGGTAGTACCACCAAACACCCAACAGTACTATAGTACTCTTTTAAAATGAAATATTCCAAATTGTACTATTTGTATTAGACTAAAAAAATAACATAATAATTTGGCAATTGTTATGCGAATTTAATGTTTAAAATTTTTTGGATATTTATTTTAGCAATGAATTTTGACATGCGCCGTTGTTTTAAGTGCCATTTTGGCAATTTTTATTTAATTGCATTGACCTTTTAACGTAATTAAATTACAAAGTTGGTTAAATTGGTGGCATTTTTCTTTTGATTAAAATGGTGAAAACCGAAAAACAATTGAACGTCAGGTTTTCGAAATACTCACAAAAAATGTTTGTAAGTATTTGGAGAACCATCAAAAAATTCAAGTACTTATTACTTTTTTAGTTTATTTTAATTGTTTATTTTATTATAATATTTTTTTGTTCCAAATTAAATTGTCTTTTATGGAACTCCCATATAAAAAAAATTTAGTTTTGTGAATATTTCAGAAACCCGACGTTCAATTGTTTTTCTGTTTTGGTTAAAGTATTTTATTATTAAAATATACATACGAATTTGAATGTTTGCATATAAAAAAACGATTTTTTACAACAATTTGAAATTTACACCCAAATTACCTAAGAAATTTACCCTGCAACCTGGCTTTATGAAAAAAAAACAATAATGAACAAGAGCCCTTTCCACAAAACAAAATGGTAAAAATAATAGAATTATATTAGTTAGTAATTATTTTTTTTCTTTAATATCTCTTCGGAAAATGTAGACAAAAAATATGTAATGTAATTTTAAAAAAAAGGACTTTACTTTGGATTTTTTTACACTCTTTTAAAACAAAATCATAGCACTAGTTAGGTAAATAACTATTACTTAATTTTCAGATTTTAGATATTATAAAAATAAAACAGTGAATAATTTTATATAAACATTTTAATCACACAAAACATACATTTATATACTAACAATATTATCAGTTCAATAACAGAAGGAAAATAAAAGGAAAGGAGAATCATGAAAAGGAATAGGTCAGGATATAGCATTGATGATATTTATAGAAATATAGCAAATATTTACATAATAAATATACGACTATTATAGGAACTAAGCAAAGTAGCAAGTAAGGGGAAATATTTAAATTGAAGAAAAAAATAAGTGAAAATAAGTTAAGAATTTGTCAAGAAAAACTATGAGATAGACTTAGTTTTTCTTTGATGGTTTGGATGGTTTGGCTTCGGAATCATCCTTGTACCAGTCCTCGCTAAAAATAAAACCATACAATTAGCAAAAAATATGCGAAAATGATTATGAAAAGCGTTTTGTTCTAGTGTGCTTTGCACCGGGGATACCCGGCACTGAGGACCAAAAGTAAAAAACAGGCTTTATATTCGAAATAAAGCACACTGTTTAAAAATGAATTAGTCAAAAATGACTAATTCTCATAGCGAACAAGCAGCCATCAATAATTCTCGTCAACAGCAATGTGTATCTTGGACATTTAGCAGTCAAATTGACTGAGTCAATACCTATGTAAAATTGTCCGCTGAATCCGAAAATTTACTCAAAAGTTATAAGAGAAGAACAGCTTTTGAGATATAGGTAGTAAATTTTTTTTCTTTCATAATTTTTGACAGTCTTTTCGGATTTAAAGGACAATTGGCTGTTAAATGTTCGGGATACAAATTGCTGTTATTAGTCACAATTTTATGGATAGTTTGGGCGTGTAACTTACCATCCTTGTACGTTTTCTGGAGCATCACATCTTTGAGTTTCTTCGTTGTAAACCTCTCCAACGGTGCAACCTAAGTCTCTGGGTTCTTTAGCATTTAAACAAACGTAGAATCTTTGGCAATCGGTGGGGTGAGCGTATTTAGGGTGTACGTTGACGTTTCCGTTGACATCGATTTGTGGTTCAGTTGGGCATTTGAATCCGTCTTTCAAAGTCACTGTTAAATGGAATTAATTAAATTTTGAATGAAAATGTTGAATATGGAAAAACCTACTGGTGGTTTCTTGGCATCCTTGTCTGTTGGCAGTGTCGGGCCATACGCAGGTTCCAGAGTATTCATCGAAATGTAATCCGGCTGTGCATGGAAGCAAGGTGTGTTCACCTTCGATGCAGTTGTAGAACTTGTTGCACACGGTTGGGTCTTCGTGGGCAAAGAATCCGTTGCGACGTGGGCATGGGCCTTTTGGTTTTGGGGGCTCTAAAAAAATAAATTATTTATGTTTATTCGTTCATTAAATATTCTGCGGTTTTCAAATAACCGGTTTGATTGTTCCGAGAAAATTGAATGAATTTGCAAGCTCCTTTCAAGGCTGGCATTTTTGCATAAAATTGTAATTTATAGGTCACACTTTTTTATACTTACGAAGTTCTGTTCTGTCTCCACAGTCTATATTAAAGGGTTGGTCGCATTTGTTGACCTTACGGATGAGCTGATCGAACACCAAACCATCTGGGCACAATTTCTCCTTGGCAACGCCGTCAGTACATTCGTAAAATTTATCACATTGGATGGAATCTTCATATTGACCATCCTTTACTGGACATTTAAATTGAGCGCCTGCAAATACAATAAAATAAGTGAACTTTCTTTAAATGAAATTGGAAATTGCTTGATTTTAACTAGTAACCAAGTACCCTACTTAAGTAAAGTTAAAATAAAACTAGACCATTACAGAAACGTAATCCAGATTAATTAATAATCAATAAAAAATGCTAATTAATAAAAACAATATTGTAAATTATTCCTGGCGTGTATAGTAAAGTTTTATATAAGATAAAAGTGAAAGGCGAGGAATTTTGTAACACCAGAAAACCTGTTCATCCTCCTAAATTATAATTTAAATGATTGGTTTATTAACCAGTGTGTATTGTTTAACATTTGCAGTGTGTTACTGATAAGGTCATCAAAATGTTACATCAACCAAGACATATATTAAAAAAAATTATCTTTCATTAATTTTTTTAAATTTGTTATAAAGAAACCATTGAAAATAAAATCATTCTAATTCAGGTTTTTTTATTAAATTTACTATACAAAAAAATCTTAAACCAAAAAGGTATTCAACCGGCAAATCTAAAAATGCATATATTTTACGTCTAAAAAAATCTAAATATAAAAATTAAATATTAATTTATTTTATAGGACAATATTATTGAGCAATATACGACTTTTTGTAAAATTGTATATTGATAAAATAATATTAGTTACGAAACAAAGAGAAATGATTGAGCAATAATTTAAATTAAAATATAACGAAAAACTTGCACTTTCACTCAAGTCATTCGCATGCATATATCACTACAAGTTTTTCTAAAATTATATAATCAGGAAATACAAAATGCGCAAACAATAATATTAATAATAATAATAAAATAAAACTTACTTGCTGTAGCAGCTAAAGCCAAAACGGTCACAATAAAGAACTTCATGTCGCACTATATATGAAGACTTAAAATGAGTAACGAAAAAAAGGAGTAACTGTAGGAGGTATGACTAGGTCTACCTCTGGATTGTGACTGTCAATTGTAAGCAAGAGTTTCGTATTTAAGAACTTGCAGCGTGTAGTTCAACCAATGGTTCGATATTGCTTTATCAGCATAGTCAATCGCCTCTAATTGACTGACTAGCTTTTCCCTCCTATTAGTGTGGTGAAATATTTAACCTTTCTTGATTTATTTCAATTTGCTGAAATTCTTCGTTTACATCTTCACAATATATTGCAATAAAAAAAAATAAAGTAGGTACTACGTACTATGCAAAATGTTATACAACTTTATTATTTTTTCTTTAAGGACATCTGTTTTATGTAACAATATTAATATAATAAGTATAATATTACCTATGTACAAAAGGGTTTCCGTTATTTCTCAAAATGGGATGTCGTTTAACCCGCAACTAATATCGTCTTGACGTGACCCCGACATTTAATTTTTTGTTGCTCCACTCCACATGTTTTGGCCGAAACCGATTTTCGTATTCTTTCATCTATAGGTATTGTAAGATCACATTGGCCTGATTAAAAAATAGATTAAAATAAAATTAAAAAATTATACCACATTTCCATGTAATTTTTGAATTTTTATTAGGTATTAATTATTATTATTAATATGATTAATATAATAACTAATATTATTTTTGACCAAAATGGCCAATGATTAAAAAATATAAATTAACTTTGTTTTTGATAGGGGTCATTTTTGACCCCTGATAGTAGTTACCTAAATGACAATGTTCTTCTTATAAAAAACCCTAAAAAACTTTTTTACAGAACGTAAAATTTTCTACAAAAATATGTCTTGTTTATAATACAATAATTGTTGTCTACTATTAGCAAGTTATAAAGTTTTTCTAAAAATTAAAAAGTATAATCGATTTTTTTAAAATGTTTTTAGACTGTACACAAATAATAACTTTAGAGAAAAATTATAATTTTTTTATTTATTTGACCTACGATTCCATTTAAATGGATTGTTTTACAAAAAAAAACGTATAAGACCTTTTTTGTTAAGCGTGATTAAAATTTCCTACAAAATTTGTCTGAAAAAAGTAATTTTATTTTTTTTTAGAATAAAAATATTAATTTAGATGATAACCAAATAAAATAAGCCTATTTGAAAGATAACGGACACCCAAATATAAGTAGATGCAGATATTTTAGTTTAGGAATAAAAAAAGTTAACTTTTGTCATTATGATTAATAATTATTAATTAACAATTAATAAATAAAAGTGTATTATTTTTATTATTAATATATATATATATCTATAGTTTCCTATTAATATAAAGTTTTGCATTATATATAATATACAGGTTGTTTTACAATCGTGGTCTATTAAAAGTTTCTGGGAAATGAAAAATTATATTGATTTGAAATTTTAAAAGCGTTAATAATGCATTTAAATCTATTTTTCTAAAATATTTTTGACAAAATGCTACTTTTGGTTTAACCTGAAATGACATCAACTTTGTTATACCTCATATATTTGTACATTTTTAAATTCTACATACAATTTAGAGTAAAATTACTATACTATGCCCCAGTGGCGGCTGGTGGATTTTAAGTATACCAATATCTCAGTTATTAGACATGGGACCCACACCAAATTTATAATAGTTTATATTGACATTAAATAAACAAGTTCGGCGCAAACAGAATTTAAATTGAAGTTTGCGAAAAAAAGTTAGTTTTTCCTGTCGCCTACCCTGCCTCCAGGCCCCCCTATTTGAGATAATTCAAATTAAAGTGGTGCAATTTATTATCTACTATAATTTATCGACAAATTTAAAATTTTATTTAAAAAATCCAAATATTACAGTTTTTATACCATTTTAAATATTTTTTTATTTTAATAAAATAAATAATAAAAATTTAAAATCGAATAAAATCTGTAATATTTGGATTTTTTGAATAAAATTTTAAATTTGACGATAAATTATAGTAGATAATAAATTGCACCACTTTAATTTGAATTATCTCAAATAGGGGGGCCTGGAGGCAGGGTAGGCGACAGGAAAAACTAACTTTTTTTCGCAAACTTCAATTTAAATTCTGTTTGCGCCGAACTTGTTTATTTAATGTCAATATAAACTATTATAAATTTGGTGTGGGTCCCATGTCTAATAACTGAGATATTGGTATACTAGTGAGGTATAGGGCATAGTATGCCCTATACCTCACTAGTTTTCACAAACCTAATAACAAAAAAGTTATATGTATATTACGGTGGCCAAAAAAAAAGAATATTTTTTTTCTCGTCTCTTGTAAAAATATGTTAGTTTATCATGCTGTAAGAGCCCTGTCAAAATATCAGCTTAATTAAAACATGTTTAGGGGTCGCTCAAGATTTTTAAAATTTTCAAAATCGTCATAAATTGAATTTTTGTTTTATTTTAATTTTTTTTTCTCGTCTCGATATTATTTTTTTGGTTGAAAATAATAAAAATTCTGTAAATTTCAAATCAATATTTTGATTTCTAAAGGTCGCTAAAAGTTCGTTGATATTTATATTCAGATGTTGCTTGAAAACATTCCAAATACTCTACTTTGAAAGTTACAAAAAATCTTGAGCAACCATTAGAAATCAAAATATCGATTTGAAATTTTCAGAACCATTATTATTTTTAAATTAAAAAATAATATCGAACGAGAAAAAAAAATTAAAATAAAAAAAATCCAATTTTTGACGATTTTGGAAATTTTTAAAAATCTTGAGCGACCCCTAAAAATTTTTTAATGGAGCTGATCTTTTGACAGGGCTCTTAAAACATGACAAACCAACATATTTTCACAAGAGACGAGAAAAAAAATATTTTTTTTGGGCCACCCTAATGTATAGGTAGGTATGCTTGTTTAAATTGACGCGCGAAAAAAAATAATAACTCGAAAACAATTTAGTTTAGGGATAGGTCATAGTATGGTAATTTTTCTCAGAATTTTATGTATACAATTAAAAAATGTAAAAATAAATAGGGTGTTTTTATTTAAAATAACAAAGTTGATCACACTTCCTGTTAAACCGGAAGTGGCATTTTGTTCAAAATATTTTAGAAAAACAGACTTACATGGATTATAAACGCTTTTCAAATTTCAAATCCAAATTTTTCCGTTCCCCAGAAATTTTTAATGGACCACGAATGTGAAACAAGATGCACCCTGTATATATTATAAAGACTTTAGATAAATTATTCAGTCGGTATATACATACATACAAATTAGTTTGATGAATAAATATTAAAAATAATACATTTTTTAAACAGATTAATTAACCTGTAATAGGTATATGTAAGTTAAAATTGCAAGTCGGTAAATTGATTTATAAAAAATACCCATACACGTGTATGGGTATTTTTTATAAATCAATGCATGTGTAAAAAATATATTTTTTAATTTTAACACAAAAACCGTATGAATTAACTATGGGCAAAATTTTAAAATTTATTTAAAAAATTAAACCGTAAATGTTAAGGTTATTTTTAATGAAATAATTTAAACTTCCTATAAATTATTAATTTAAAATTAATATGGAATACAACTTGATTATTTATGCATTCAAAGTAGTTTGTATTCATATTTTTATTTATTCTAAAACATCGTTTTTAATTAGGTACGGAAATTAAAAAAATGTATCCGATATTTTGTAATTTCGAAGTACATATATACATAGATACATTAATGTAACGGATAGAAATTTTAAATGGAGATACCAACAGTAAATGAAGCGACGAACCTTTATTTATATTCTGTATTTATAGCTGTACGGTGTAAAAAAACACGTATGGATTAAAATTCAAATCATGTTTTCTAGAAAATGCAGTTTTATATGTACAATACCAACAATATATATAAATAATTTTAACTAAGAAAAACTAACTAATATCTTCTGTTTAACGCGATTTTAGATGGTTTAAAGCCTATATTAAAGCCTATATTATAATATTAGGCTATATAGCTGAAAGATTTTTGATAGATCAGCCCAATTAATTTTTGTTAGAAAAATTATGTTCTTTAGAAAAATGTTTATACATATTATTTTAATATTTATTATTTTATTATTTTGTAGTATAAAACCAGTTTACGATTATGTAGTTTATAATTGTAGTTATTAAAAATATGTATATATACCTCTATACATTAAATATGCGTGCAAAAACTATCGTAACGACATCAAGATCAGATCAACTTCTATTTATAGAGTTTTAACCATTCTTTGTACTTGTTCAATATAAATACCCGAGTCAAAATTAAGATCGTAATTTAAACCTTAAGTCTGACAATTTCCGTCTTAAAAGGTTTTATATTCGCCTAAAGATAACCAACTTATGACCTAAAACATGGCAGATAAGTCCATTTTCCGATTTTTCGGTTAGAACTCATTACGTTAAAATTTAAACCAAAAATTTTATTAGAGGTTTAAATCGGTTTAAATCGGTTCAAATGAAGATTAATTAAAATGACTAAACACATTTTTGGTTAAAAAAACTTGACATTGAAAGTTTTAATTGTTATTTATGTATCAAGGCAGTAAAGTCGAATTTTTTATCACGAGTGTGGAAATTATTTGCCGAGGTGAAAGCCGAGACAAATAACCACGTGCATATTAAATTTTATCCGAAATCACATTTAATATTACTAATAATTAATATTGTCAAATGTCATTTGATGATCAAATCAAATGTCATTTGAATGTAGGAAGTGTCTACGTATACTGTTTGTTGCGACGGTCATGATATATTTAACCGCCGCGGTGATTTTTTAATCTAATTAATAAAATTAACTTATTATTTCTATTAAACAACATTTTATGAAAGGGTCCAATCGACCTCCGCGACGGTGCCTTTTTTTTAATATTATTTAGTTGCTGCTGAGGAGCAGTAGACACATCTTAAAATGTATAATGGGCTGCATACAATACTCGTATTAAATCGCGAGTATAGTTCTACTTTACTGCCGATTTCTTTCACTTTACTGCCGATTTCGGATAAAATTATTTATAGTGTTTATAGGAAAAATATATATTATTATATATCTGTAGGTAAAAGGCATAAGGGGATAAGTCAAAAAATGCAATTTTTCAATAGAGCCTTTAACATGTTCGTATTAATTCAGGA